TCAGTGAAGTAAAATGGATGGGAATGGGTGAATTCAATTCAGACGATTACCATATCTACTATTGTGGGCAAGAATCCCGAAGAAGGAATGGAGTAGCCCTCATAGTCAACAAAAGAGTAAGAAAAGCTGTACTATCTCAAAAATGACAGAATGATTTCAATAAGAATCCAAGGCAGACCTTTCAACATCACAATCATCCAAGTTTATGCATCAACCACCAATGCTAGCAAAGCTAGCAAGGTTATGCTCAAAATCCTACAAGGTAGGCTTCAGCAGTATGTGGACCGAGAACTCCCAGAAGTACAAGCTGGATTTTGAAGGGGCAGAAGAACTAGAGACCAAATTGCTAACATGCACTGGATTATGGAGAAAGCCAGAGAGTTCCAGGAAAAAAATCTACTTCTGCTTCATTGACTACGCAAAAGCCTTTGACTGTGTCGAACACAGCAAACTATGGCAAGTTCTTAAGGAAATGGGAGTGCCTGACCACCTTATCTATCTCCTGAGAAATCTCTATGTGGGACAGGAAGCAACAGTTAGAACTGGATATGGAACAACTGATTGGTTCAAAACTGGGAAAGGAGTACGACAAGGCTGTATATTGTCTCCCTGCTTATTTAACTTATATGCAGAATACATCGTGCGGAAGGCTGGACTGGAGGAATCCCAAATCGGAATTAAGATTGCCCGAAGAAATATCAACAACCTCCGATATGCAGATGATACCACTCTGATGGTAAAAATGAGGAGGAATTAAAGAACCTCTTAACAAAGGTGAAAGAGGAGAGTGCCAAAAATGGTCATCTGCATATCGGAGGTTGTTGATATTTCTTCCAGCAATCTTACTATCAGCCCAGATCTCTTCTGGGGAGGAGGTGGAAGTCCAGTGGTCCTTGATATGCATGGTGCTTCTGTGGCTCATTCTAACAAGGCCAACAGGGCCATCCACGGTTGCCCCACACCATCAAGCTTGTTGTTTTCTTTTTTATTGTATGGTCAAGTCACTTCTAATTTATGGCAACTACAAATCATTATCATTGAAAAAATCATGTCATAAACAGCCCTGCTCAGGTCTTGCAAATGAAAGGTTGTGATTAGATGGGGGTATTCGTACAGGTGGAAATAACAAGGGTCAGACCTTCCTATCGCACCCTTGTCCGCAACTGATTACCCAGTCCTGGCAGGAGGCAGGATGACAAGCCTCTCTGCTAGGTCGGAAAGTGGCTAATCCATTGTGGAGAACAGTGTGATAGGAAGCATCCGCGGAGCTGGTGGCAGCAGCGAAAAACCCTCATTATTTCCACCTCTGTGGGGATATTCGTATTCGTATACGAATACCCACATCTCTAGTTGTGATTCATTCTATTTTATGTTGAGCCACTCCATCTTATGATATATCTTCTTGCTATACTGCCTTCTATCTTTCCTAGCATTATTTTCTTTTCCAATGAGTTTTGTCTTCTCATGATATTGTATGTCTATTATATGTAAGACATGACATTTTCCTTCCTACCACTGCCTTTGCAAACAAAGCATCAAAGAAGCAGAAGCTAGTGCAAAAGCTGTCTAAATGTAGCCTTTCCACTGCCAGGTAGGTTCTGGCCTTTTTAACTATGTTCAAACTGAGCACGAGACAGTGTACTGTATATCGTTCACAAGTCACATCACAAAAAACACACAGAGCTTAAATTCAACTGCCAAACAAAAACTAACCCATTCCCCTCCCACTTGCAACAAGTTTGCACAACAGCCTGCAAGAGGCAGCATGCGTTAACTAGAAGCCAACAAAACACAAACTTAAAAAAAACAAAACATAAACCACATCTCCAACATGCTTAGGAGAATGGAACTGCATTGCTAACCTTCCATAATGTGTTCACTTTCCAAAAGGCTGGTGTAAGTGTGAATGTCTTTTTCTACATCGAGGCAGGCAAGCAGTGAGGAGAAAAGAGCAGTCAAAAGAAATGAGTAAGAAAATGCTCCATTTAAAAAATGAAGATTCAGTATACAGTCATCCAGGAATTTTAAGACAAGGTAACAGAGAAGATGAAGGCATTTTAATCAGATATGCAGCAAGCCATAGGCTAGAAAGGTCAATGAATGCAGCTAAAATTATATAAGACAGACATTCTGGATCCAAATTCTACCTCAATTTTGTTCCTTTGTCCTCCACCCCCCATTTTTATGCAACAAATTTCCCAAACATTAGAAGTGCAACCAGGTTTCAAAGGAGCTTATAGCATTTCTGAGTTAGATACACTTTTTTCCAGAGCATATGGCAACTTTCATTTCATTTCATTTTTATTATACAGTATGTTCTCCCACCTTTCGCTACAAGAGGACCCAAAAAGGCATTCAATATTAAAACAGACAGTATTAAAACCTAGAAAATACAATCAATCGCTACAATATTAAAAAGCAATTGAAACAGTATCCTATGAAGACTAGCACAGAAAAACAGTTTTAAAAGCACATTAAGAAATAAAACCATATAACTGCCTGTTTTTGAAACCCTGATACACAGCCTGTTAGTGAAAAATCTCCTGCCCAAAGAGAAAGGATTTTGCCTGCCAGCAGATGGACAGCAAAGAGGGGGCCAGGTTGGCCTCCCGTAAAAGGAAGTTCCATAGCTTCAGAAGCAGCAACAGAGAAGGCCCTCTCTCATGTCCTCACCAAACACACCTATGAGAGTGGCAGAACCTAGAGAAAGGCCTTCCCTGGTGGCCTTAAAAGCTGGGCAGGCATTATTGGAAGAAACAGGCATTTAGAGCTTTAAAGGCCCAAACAAGTACTTTGAACTTACAGCTGAAACAGACTGGGTGACTGTAGAGCTGTCCCAACAGGAGAGCTATGTGTTACTGTAACCATCCCAGTTAAAAAGCATTTGGTTTCTCTGACATTTCCAAGAACAACTCCATATAGAGTAATCCCAAATAGGATGCAATTAAGGCATTTGTCAGTAGAGATGAGCATGAATTAATCTAGATCCCTTTCTACAAATTTTATTGCACGGCTGTTGCTTAGACTCTCCCCACTCAACCCCAGACTGGCTTTCATCACATGCCATCGGGGTCCTTTGTCACTGTTAGCACATCAATCTGGGACGGAGCTCGACCATCCCTTCCACGCCTTCTCTGGCAGCTGACCACTCCAATGAGAAGGTGAGACAAGGCTTCTCCCTGCAGAGCCAAGGATTGGTTGGCTGCCAGAGGACGCAGGGATGGGATGGACGAGCTCCTTCCTGGATTGATGCACCACCAGCGATGAAGGACCCCGACAGCGTGTGATGAAAGATGAGTGCTTCTTTCGGTCCGGGGGTGAGGTGAGGGTCAGCGTAGCAGCTGTGCTGCCATGCAACAAAATTCGTAGAGAGGTATCCAAATGAATTCAGGCCCATATCTATCTGTCACCATAGCACAGTTGCCCACTGAGTGGCTGGCTAGCCTTACTTGTCAATGGTAAACACATCTCCAGAAAGAGGAGTAATGAGCAGCTTACATTCAGAGCTTGCAAAAACTTGTGATGTGTTCAATGTTATATATAATCTAAAATTAATTTAGCCCAAGACCCACCAAATAGAAACATTTTGTGAAATGGAGTGTATGTGATCAACATATTTATTTACCTTAGCAAATAAGCCATAAGTACTTTCAGTTGCTAGTGGCAACTAGAAGCGGTCCCTAGGCATCCAAATAGTGACTCAGAGCCCTGACTGCAGCACATTCCACAACATGAAACTAAACAATTATTCATTTTCTTTTAAGCCATCATACATGCTCAATTCATTTTAGACTAAATTATAAGACCTATACTTTAATACAGAACTCCTGTATCTTGTTATATTTATTAAAACACACATACCATTCCAGAAAATCTTTTGCATCTTTTAATGGTCTTTGCTGAAGGAATGCTTATGGTCAACTTTTACTTCCAATACCTGGGGCTAAGAAGCAGTAGTCTGCAGTAAACCTTCGTTAGTTGTTTCCATTTGCTGAGAAGCTGCTGTTTAAAATATTTTACAGGGTGTTTCTACAAGAGCTATGCAAGATGGTGTTGGTTATTTGGCAAGCAAAAAAAGAAATGTTTTGTTGGTACAAAAGAACAAATGTACTGCTTTCATATGTTCTTGGACAAAGCCTAGACAGCGCAGGGTTTGACCCATATTCTGGCCAAGGTAAGCGGAAATTAAGGCAGTACAGCAGACAACAACCACCAAGACAGACTATGCATGGGAATAGTACCAACTGATGTATGCAGAGCAATTGATTAGCTGGTAGAATTACCTCCAGGAGTAAATCCCTCCGTAAGTATCTGGACTGTTGAGATCTGTGCAATTTCAAGTTCATAATGGCTTTCTCCATCCAGAAATAGATATCTGGACAAAAAAAACCACACAAATTTCATATATGAGTTTTGTAGAAAAGACTTGTTTTACCAATATAAATTTCTTGATTTTTAAAAAAAGGATGATATGATATTAAAGGCTCAGTATATTTACTTCTAGTTGTTATACTAGTGGTAACCTATGTATGACCTTAAATATTTCAAACCACAAATGCCAGAGGCATGTAATGACTGAATGTTTCCTCAGCGGGAAAAGAGTCACACCTAGAGAAACTTGATGTCACAAAGCAACATTAGTATATTTTAGCAAATTAACAGGCCAAATGTAAGTCTTAATACAGGCAACTTGTTTCTGTAAAACATTTGCAGTATGAAATGGTACTATCCAGACCTCTGTGACAATCTGAGAATAGCAAAACGTATCTGTGACTTGGTGCTATGCTTCTGGTTCCTGAATAAAAGCAGTGTAAAAAAGTAAAACAGCAGGCACACTCACTTCAATTATTTTCTAAAGTGGTGGGGAACATAAGAACATTGTCAGAGATCTCTCTTTCCACCCGACAGTATCTGAACATCAATGTCTTTAAATTCCCTATTCTCTCCCTTGCAAAGTTTTCAAAAGCATACCTAAAAACCGTTCTACAATCACATTTTCCCATTTCAGCCATAGGAATCTCATACTTCTAAAGAAATTATCACAATTAAATTGTTTTAAGATGTTATGACAATAATCTCTCTGAATAACAAACAAGAGATGCTGGGCTAACTATTGCCAGATTCTGCTGTTATCCTAAAGCAGTATTTATCCAGCTTTAATAGAAGAACTCAAACCTGTAAAATGCTGGTGACTAGCTGTTAAGAGTTTTGAAATGTTACAACTGCAACATCCACTAACAATGCAGATTTCTTACCTCTGGTTATTTGAAAGTCGACAAACCATCATCTCTGCCTTTTCTGATGTGCCTGAAGTTACATAGAATGTAGCACCTCAATATCCAGAAAGGGGGAAAGAATAGGAAAAACGTACATTAAAAATACCTTGTGTTTATAATCATAACAATTCATTCCATAAACAGATAAGTCCTGCAGCTGATCAGTGCTAACCTTCTGACTTCATTCCTGGTCACAGTATAACAGTTTTTTAGATCCTTAGACTGAATTTCTTCCTACAACACAGGAAAGGTACAAGCTTACTTAATGGCTGAAATCCTGTTGCTGAGTGTAGTCACTTGCACTAGACTAGGCCCACTGAATCAGTGAGTCTTTGGTGAGTTGGCTCTTCCATAAGTTCCATTGAATCCATTAGGTTTACTCTTCATTGCCATTTAAAAGTCACAATCAGAGTAGATCTATTTGAATCAATGAGACTTATGGAGGAACTGACTCACCAATACCCACTGATCTAATGGGCCTACTCTAGTATGACTTGCTATGATAAAACACAAAACTCCTGTCAGAGTGGATAAAAATCAATGATTTTTAAAAAAAATCTAATTGATTTAAATCATAATTTACATTTTAAAAATCATTTTTAATCCAAATTATTAAAAATCATATTTTTAAAAATTTAAATCAAATCAACCCTGACTCCTGTCAAGGTATGAAACCATAAACTACTTTAATTCTGACAGGAAAAAAGATATGATGCTACGTACAATCTGTGACTCAAACTACTCGGACTTAATACTGCATACAAGGACATAGTCATTCCAAGAATCACACTATGATATACAGTCATGCCCTGCTTAATGATTACCCTGCATTACGACGAATCCGCTTCATGACAATGTTTTTGCAATCACAATTGCGATCGCAAAACAATGTTTTAAATGGGTTTTTTTCGCATTGCGAAGATCGGTTCCCTGCTTCAGGAACCGATTCTTTGCATTACGACGAATAAAACAGCTGATTGTCGGGTCTTCAAAATAGCCGCCGGGTGCTCAAAATGGCTCCCTGCTGTGCTTAGGGACGGATTCCTCATTATACAGGCTCCAAAAATGGCCGGAGTATGGAGGATCTTCGCTGGACAGTGAGTTTTTAGCCCACTGGAACGCATTGACCGGGTTTTAATGCGTTTCAATGGGTTTTTTATTTTCGCTTTACGACGTTTTCGCTCTACAGCAATTTCGCTGGAACAAATTAATGTCGTTAAGCGAGGCACCATTGTACACAAATCTCTCAAAGTAGCTGACATCTTGCAGAAGCAGCATCAAAGCAGTACAAATTTTTTACTTTACTATCAGTTAGGAAAAACAGTAAGCATCCTACAGATTTCAACATCAGTTATAATAGCTTCCCCTTGGCCATCAGACTTACAGTTTTCTTATTGTTATGCATTTGATTGACTACCTACCTCAAAATCAAGAAAACATGCTGGTATGAAATAATTTTTGCATATAACAAAATAACTAGAAGTACCAGCAGCTTTTTGAAGCTGAAAAAACATTCAGCATTTTTCACTAAGGTCTTCTAAAACAATCATAGAATTCAAGACAAGAAACTGTTTGCTCAGTTTATGTTGAAAGTTTACAGTGACTAGTCCAGATGTTCTGCAATAAAATCTTGCATGAACAAGACATTTTAAGAATTTGATAGTTTCCTTAAAAGCTGTTATACATGTGGGCACAAGGTCATAAATGCCATGGAAATAGACACCCTTACAAAATTCATCCCTTAACACTCCAGAACAAAGTCCCACAGATGTGCACTGTCCATACAGCAGTCTTTGTATGGATACTTGAATGTCATGTTAATCTGAACACATGGAAGAGGAATAAAAAAGAAAGAATATGTCTCAGTAAAACTAATCTGGACATATCACAGCAACTTCCAATTATAAACAGGTTGAATTTTGCTATTTAACATTCATAAAAGAGCATTACTGGATGATTCCAAAGGGGAGGTACGGTATCTAGCATGGTTTTTCTTAATTGTCCCCTATGCAATCATTGATAAAAGAATTATTATCCAAATCAAAGGTTTATACGCTTGTTTTCAGTTTTAGACAAGAATTCCAGAGTCAAAGAGCAAAGTTCATTGCCATTTCTTTCTCTCATTTTTAATTTTTTTTAATTTCCAAAACAAATACAAGAATACAACATGCTTACTAATACAGTCTAAAACAAAGTGCACCCCCATACCCGTGGGACCCTTTGTAGCAACACTTTTATTATGAACCTTTCCAAAATTGTATTGATTGTTGTTTAGACTCTAGAGGCTTTCCCCTTTCCTTTCACTAATGCAAATTCAATAAATCTACCCCAAATAGCATAAAAAATTAAACATATTTCCCTTCTTTTCATCTTAAGTTCAGTAGTCAATGTATCATTTAATGCAATGTCCCATACAGTGGGGTCTTGACTTGAGAACTTAATCCGTATTGGAAGGCGGTTCTCAAGTCAAAAAGTTCTCAGGTCAAATCTGCATTTCCCATAGGAATGCATTGAAAACCATTTGATCCGTATCTGCTCTTTTCCGTCCATAGAAACTAATGGGAAGCTGTTATGCTGCCTACGACCACTAGAGGGGGATATTTTGTTTCTTTTTTTCTTAGGTCAAGAAAGGTTCAGGGAAGGCAGGGAAAATACAGTCCAGGCAGTACAGTACCAGGCAGTCCGAAGACTGTCTCCCAATCCACTCTCTAAACGCTGGGAGGAGTGAGGAAGCAGACAGGCACCCTTTTCACTGGCCAACAGTTAACTGAAAGTTCAAATTTTGCACTTTCCCTGCCTCCCACGTGGGTTTTTTTCAGTTCTTAACTCAAATCTAAGTATGTAAGTCAAGTCAATATTTTCCTATGAGAGTGGTTCTTAAGTCAAAATGTTCTTAACTCAAGCCGTTCTTAAGTCAAGACCCCACTGTACTTCATTATACCAATCTTCTAATTTAATATCATTTTTATCTTTCCAAAATATAGCTATTAATATTCTAGCACTTGTCATAAAATTAGAAATTGATTCCTTTTAGCAATAATCAAGTTCCATCTTATCAAAAATTGACAGCAAAGCAATTTTAGAATTAAGTTCGATATATTTTGCAAATATATCACATGTTTCCTTAAAAATCAATTTCCAAAATTTCTGAATCGATTTACACTCCCACCACATATGATACATACCAATTTCTTCGTCACATTTCCATCAGGTCTGAATTTATTATGTTCAATTTTATGTTCAATTTCGGAGTCATGTACCACCTTAAACTATTTTTTTAAAATTCCTTTATTCTTACCAACATTAATCTTAAAACTTTCATCTTGCCATTTTTTGTCCAATCCTCTGTTTTAATTTCTGTCTTAAAATCATGTTTCCAAATTGATTTCAAACCTTCTATTTCAGTCTCTTTTTCCTCTTGTTCCAAAATTAGGTTATAAATTCTACTTACTATTCCCTTCCTCAAAGCATCTGTCTGCATGTCTTCATATGATGATAGAAATTGTTCATACTTAGTACATTCTCTACATTTGCTATGAGTTTTCAACCATTCAGTTGTCCAACTATCTAACTGGATATAATTATACCATGATAGTTTATTAGTTTGAAGTTTAATTATAATCTGATTCTTCAATCTCATTTTAATCATCCAATCCTTCAATCTGGCAACTTTTTTATCCTTAAATAGATCAACTAAACCCTTCAAGTTTGCTGGGAAATTTTCTATTTTGGTTATTAATTTTAGTGGTGAAGTAAAGGGCCATAACTTCTTTTTATATCTGTTCCAAACATTTACCATGTTTCTTTAAAAAAGCATTGTTCATCTGATTTATTGTATTTCTTTTTACTACATTAAACAAATATTTTTCAGTATTTCCCTTTATTTCTGAAGATTCTGTATCCCACCAAATTAACCTTCCTTTATTATTATAATATCTCCAATAGATCTTAGTTGATTCGTTATATAATAATTTTTTATATTAGGAATACCTAAACCTCCATTTTTGAGCCTTCTACCAATATCTTTTATTTATTCTTGATTTTTTTACCTTACAATTAATTAATTAATTAATTAATCCCTGTCAATACTTAAAATCTTCTTCTTCTAATTATATTGGGAGCATCCTGAATAAAAAACTAATTTTGGTAATATTTTCATTTTGATCATAGTGATTCTCCCAGACCACGATAGTTTCAATTTAGAATATTCCTGCAATTTATCTTTAATATCACTTTTTAATTTGTTAAAATTTTGCTCCTTTAATTTTTGAGTTACTTTAACTATATTTATACCTAAATATTTAATATATTTAGACATTTTAAACCATATTTATTTACAAATGTTTCTTGTTCATATTTATTAAACATCATTATTGTCATTTCTGATACTAGATTTAACATACGAGTCTAAAGTCAGATCACGCTTCCACATGGCAGTCACCAGCAACAATGAAGACCTAATCCACATGCATCATATGCTCAGTCCTTACCATTCATAAGCACTTTCAGTTGCTTGTCATAGAACTCCGTTTCTTTCTGAGAAACAAGAGCACATTCGGCACACTGACGCACAGGGTCAACAAAGCACATACGAGGCAGAGGCACTTTCTTGCTGCAGCATTTGTCACAGAAGCACTTTCCACATCTCCTGCAGTGGTGCTGGATTGGCAGGGGGCGGGTTAGAGAAAGAGGGAAACAATTCAGCCAAGTCAGAGCTTTTGTGTTAAAAATTCTAGCACATGACTAGTGTTATGGAACAGCGATGAAACACAGATGAGAGTTGTCGTATAGGACTAGTGTAGGGACAGAGAACTCTGAAATGCATGTTAAAAGTGACACAGGAGCTTTCAAAAGGAAAAACAGATTAATAAAAATACTTTTTTTAAATGTTTTTTATTTTATGTAGGCAATCCACCTGTTTGGTTTCAGAAGCTCTGTCTATATCTCGTTTACTTGGTCCTCTCCCTGCAGTCAAGTACACTGTGTACCTAAATCTGGGGCTTAAACACTATACCATGTGTCCAAAGAAGTAGACTGTAACACTGAAATGAATCTGTTAATCAACAAGGTGCTACAATATTGTGACAACAGAATCACACAGGTACCTCTCTGAAAATTGATTTATTTGTTCATTTGTTTGTTTGTTTATACCCTGCCTTTCTCCTTGAAAAGGACGCAAGGCAGCTTACAACATTGAAATAAAATATTTAAAGTTCAAAACAATGAGTATACAATGGAGGTTAACATCATTAAAAGGCAATATTTAAAGTCAAGAACAATAAGTATAAAGAGGCATCTCACATCAGTATTAGGCAATATTAAAGCTAAGAACAATAAGCTTACCAATATTTTTAAAATGCCATCTGAGAAATGGAAAACACAAAAATAGAAAACACAAGTCGTACTAAAAATTCAGTCAAAGCAATAATGCATAACAGTCCATCTAAAAACACGGGTAACTCATTACTGAGGGAACGTTTGCCTGAAGAGAAAGGTCGTTGCCTGCTTGCAGAAGGACTGTAAAGATAGGATCAGTCTGGCCTCCTGTGGGAGGGAGTTCCAGAGTCTGGGAGCAGCAACAGAGAAGGCTCTCTCCCGGGTCCCCATCAGATGCACCTGTGATGCACCTAATTTAAAGACTGTTATCTCCTATTATGAGTGGGCTCAGGCCTCTCTTGATGATGTTAACGCCTGAGCCCACTCATAATGGGAGATACAGTCTTTAAATTAATTTAAAGAGAAGCCTGTGTCACTCATTAAAAACTCGCACTGCACCAGGCACATTGCAAACACCACTTTAATTGCTTCAGAATGAAGATTACTATGTTGGCATATGTGTTGCATTCAAGCTCTTACCTTTCTGGTTATGAAGTCAAACTTTGTATTACATTGCATGCACCTGGGACACTAGACAAAATAAAGACAAAAAGTTGAGAAAACCTTCATCCATCAAAAATGTAAAGAGTACATTGTATATTATAGGATACAACTCTCTCTTAAAACACTTCACTAGCATATTAATACTTTCCTGCCTCAAGCTAGAGTTCATTCTTTTACAGAGATATTTTTCTCAGTAGAAAATCATCTACACTGAAACCTTTTGCTAAGGATAAAACATATCTTGGGAGATAATCCAAAAATTCTACTTCAAGCACAATGAGTGTGTTTCAGCTTAAAATAATGAATCTTTTGGAACACATCTAATCACAAAGTCAAAGCCATTTGGCAGTCTCAGTAGTTACGGCTTCAAAAAAATCCTAACCATGTTTTGTCAGCTTGCTAAAAAAAACTAGCACCAGACTACTATAAACTATATTAAAAAGTTTGTTAACAGAAATACTTTCCATATAGTGAACAAAATCCTGGCTGAAATCCTGTTGCTTACCATCAGTTCCATCAATGAAATTTACTGAAGAGCTGATTCACCAAAATCCTTGCTGATTCAATGGGCCCACTACAGCTGAGACTTGCTATGCTGACTGACAGGATTTCAGCCAGAAGCTGAAGGACCCTTTTACCAAAAAGAAGTTTACTACATAGCACCAAACAATGCAGCACAGGAGATACAGTACTGCATTCATGTGGGGTGTGTGGAACTAAAAAGATTAAACAAAAAGATACAGCAACAGTTTAAAAAAATGAAATAAAGTTAGAGGAAAATAGTTGTTGCGGGTTTTTCGGGCTCTTTGACCGTGTTCTGAAGGTTGTTCTTCCTAACATTTCGCCAGTCTCTGTGGCCGGCATCTTCTGAAACGTTAGGAAGAACAACCTTCAGAACACGGCCTAAGAGCCCGAAAAACCCACAACAGCCATTAGATCCCGACCACAAAAGCCTTCGTGAATACATTAGAGCAAAATATTTTTATGCTTATTACTCTACTATGCCATGGTCTTTAAAGGACAGATAATATCAATTACAGCATGCACTTGCACAGAAAAAGAGAAATTGTCAGATATTTGTTACTGTACTGCTAACCACACATCCATATATTACACTGGTGTCTTTGAGCTAAACAAAACACCATGGTTGCTGTGTACATTATCATTCCCTTGGAGCTATACATAGAGGATAGAGGAACTGCCTTCCACGGATAATAAGGTGCTTTCACTGAGTACAGAGGGAACTATCCGTTCTGCACCAGAGTTAATTCCATTCAGTAGACTGCCCCAATCCTCTCTGTTGCAATTCCAAGGAGAAAAGTGCAGCACTGGGATGGGAATCCAAATTGGGGTCAAGTGAGGGGAAGCTTTCTTCAGCACTTCAATCACTCAGTTCCTTCTCTTTGATCAGATAACAACAATGTAAAGGCATTTAAATTGTAAATGGCCTCCTTTTACAGCTGAAACAGGTCTTGCAAGAAGAAAATGGCAAAACTGTAGGTTTGTATTTTTAAAAATATTTTGCTCTCTGTACTGCAGCCTATAGCTTAAGTGTGGCAGCTGCATGAAGTTTGTTTTGTGCACCTGAAAGCTGCTGTTACAGTATTAGGATCAGGCATGCACAAAATTGGGCTATACCTTAAATACTTGATGGGAACGTGTCCAAATTGGTAATTACATTCATGGATGTTTGTGTAAAGACAGCCTCTGGCTCCCACAATCTTCAGATATGGCCCTCAGGACTGGAATGGCTGAGCTCTGCCTGAGATTCTGCAACTTCTATTTTCAATGCAACTCTGTTCTCAAGTCTTGACTTGCTCACAATTCAATAAAACATGGCAACTCATCAATGGCAAAATCCAGTTTCAAGTGGAGCAAAGTCCTACCCTGTAAAAAGCAATTGCTTCCTCTAACTCTTTTTGACCTTTTTAAAAACCTCTGTTCAGAACTGTGCTGCTAAAACAATTCACTTCTGTTATGGTTATATCATGCAACACCATTTACTATTCAATCATCTTCCTCCCCTTACCCATAGTATTCCAAAACATGACTGTTTGTGATTTAGAATCCTCTAGATGCAGCACGTTTAGCAATCTAAAGAGGTGTGTGTGTTAATGATCTCACACATTTTCCTTACATCCTTTATTTTTCACCCCTATTTCCAGTAGACCTAGGTGATGCTATCTGACTTTAAGGTTCACATCCCTCAAAATACACTTCTTCTGTGCAGTCTTTATCTTACCCATAGATTTCAATTCCTACTAAAATAAAGTTCGTGTGCATATAACTGGACTGACTGCACCATTCTCCCAAAACTTTGTTGCCTCTACTCTACAATATCAATTTTTAAGTATAGGTTCCTTCTTCAACTGTTATTCTAAAAATACCATAAATACTAATGGTGCTCCATTATTATAATTTCACTTCTTTTAAGAAGGTGAAACCCCAAACTGTAAAGAAAGACTCTAAATATGCAGCCCTCAAATGTAACAATGGCCCCACTGGAACAAAGGGAAGATATGAGAAGGATACTGTACATAGACAGATCAGACTGCAAACTGGGTTGAATAACACCCTTATTGGATCACTAAAAAGAAGTTGAGCTTTCAAATTCTTCAGGACTCTTTGTCAGGCAAGAGGGTGTAAAATTTGGGGAATAGTGAAGGATGAAGTACCACATCATGGCCAAATGTGATGCCCACTGCTGGTGAGGCAAGATGAAGCTTGTAGATTCAGCTTCTCACAAAGGTATCAGTTTCCAGTTTTTCCTCTCTATGCAGACAAAAAGCCTGACTGGGACCCCTGCAGATTCTTGGCATAACACACAGGCCTCTTCATTCTCTGCAACGTGAAAGCTCACCTTGTTTTTATT